CAGAAAGGTGAAAGGGGGGGGGGGGGGGGGGGATCCGTGCCCTAGAAGTTGCTTTGCAAAACATGGCTATCAGATAGAGCTAAGATCAAAAGGAAGATATAAATACCTTTGAGATTAAATAAACAACGTTGCCTTTTAAATTCTATTTCCAATCCGTGTTTCTGAATTTTGAAAACTTAGACCGCCTGGGTGGTGCATTCAGTAAGCTACATGCACAGCTCCCTAGGCAGTGTTCCCTCTAAGCTGAGTTAGTGTGAGCCAGCTCACAGTTTTTTAGCTCACACATTTTTGTCTCAGCTCAGGAAGGAGGGCTCCAGAGCGAACGAATTGACGCAGTAGCCAAATTGCTCACCCAGAACTTTAATGCCAGGAGCTCACAAAGGAGAATTTCTGCTCTCAGGACTCCACAGCTTAGAGGGAGCATTGCTCCCCAGTGGGGCAAAATGCACCCCCCAGGAACATTTTGGGTTGGGAAAAAAGCACAGGAAGGAAAGCGTGGAGCTTCTTCACTCCCCACACTATGGTCCCCATCCGGATCAGTTGTCCACGGGCCTGATGTGTGATTATTTGAGTCAGAGAAATCCAGACACCTTATGTTAAAAATGGTAATGCGTAGCATGGGCTTTGGACTTGGGGTTCAACCCCCTGATTAGCCACACACAGGGGTCATTTCGTAGAAAAAGAGGTGCAGGAGCTCATTAGCATAACTTATTTGCATATGCCACACCCCCTGAGATTACCGGAAGTGTGTCAGAAGGCAACACCCACCACTTAGGCTCCACTGGACTGTTTTGGATTGCTAGCTATTGGGGGGGGGGGGAATGTGCAGATCTGTCCTCACAGAGGAGGGAGTTTAGGATATTATTGGCAAATACAGACTACAAAACCAAAAATACAGAAGCTGTAATGATGTACAAAACGCTTATAATCTCACAATAATGATACAAAAATAAACAGTCAAATGGAAAAATATTAATTCCCAACAGGTATCAGAAAGATGGGCGAACGTCTCCGGAGTTTTGGCATTCGTTTCGTGAAGAACTTCTTCCAAATCAAGATGCGATAGTGTTGCTTCTTATTCCATAATGTGTAAATCCAATACAAAGGTACTAATATCCTATATGTTGAACATGTTCTTACATAACAAATCCTTCCATCAACGGGCACACAAAGTGTACTAGCAGCCTTCGAAGTCACTTCATGTGCCCGTTGATGGAAGGATTTGTTATGTAAGAACATGTTCAACATATAGGATATTAGTACCTTTGTACTGGATTTACACATTATGGAATAAGAAGCAACACTATCGCATCTTGATGTTTGGAAGAAGTCCTTCACAAAACGAATGCCAAAACTCCAGAGAAGTTCGTCTGTCTTTCTGATACCTGTTGGGAATTAATATTTTTCCATTTGACTGTTTATTTTTGTATCATTATTGTGAGATTATAAGCGTTTTGTACATCAATACAGCTTCTACATTTTTGGTTTTCTACACTAGCTGTAACCCCTCAATTTTGTTAAACACAGGCTATAGTCAAGGGACTGAGGGTTCCCAGCTGGTATTTGCCAGTTATCTTTTTTTTTCTGGGTGCATCACCAATCAAGTCACCAAAGAGCTTCATGATTCCAAGGTATGTGGAGGCCACATCTCGGTCAGGACTCCCCCCCCCCCGCTGGTTTCTGCACTTGAAATGGCCTCTGATAATGCTACACAGTGAACAAGATGGTCATTTGAGAGGGCAGAAAAGACCACCTCAGTAGTCTAGAGCAATGTTCCCTCTAAGCTGTGGAGTCTCGTGAGCAAAAATTCTACTTTGTGAGCTACGGGCATTAAAGTTGTGCGCGAGCCATGTGGCTACTGCATAAATTCGTTTGCTCTGGAGCCATCCCTGACGGAGCAAAGACAAAAATGTGTGAGCTGGAAACTAAAAAAAACTGTGAGCTAGCTCACACTAACTCAGCTTAGAGGGAACACTGGTCTAGCCAGGGCTATTTTTGGGCAGGAACGCACAGGAACAGAGTTCCGGCTGGCTCCTGAGTTGGCCACGCCCAGCAGGAACTCATTAGCATAACAGGCCACACCCAACAGCAGAAACTCATTAGGATTGGCTACATTAGGGGTGTGTGGCCTAACATGCAAAGAAGTTCCTGCTACAAAAAAAGACCTGGGCCTTGACAACAAACAAGGTAAACAGAATACGAAGCAAAAGGTTGGTGTGGCTGGATGACCACACTTCTGGTAACATGTGGGTGCGGCCTAATATGCTAATGAGTGGTGCTGTCAGGGGTGTGGCCCAATATGCTAATGAGTTTCTGCTATTGGGTGTGGCCTATTATGCTAATGAGTTCCTGCTGGGCTTTTTCTACAAAAAGAGCCCTGTCTAGGACAATTGAAACAGCCTCTGGGACCGAAGCAGAGATGTGTTAGCAAGAAAGCGTCCCCTCCTCTCATTGAAGTAATCACAGATAACCATTTCTCAAGTGGCAATCTGTCGTGAATTGCATGCAAACTCCTGGTAAACTGGCTATCTGATATCCTAACCAAGTTGTGAGCAGAATTCTACCACTGCATTGCTCCTCCATGTTTCTGAGGAGGTGTAAGCGAGGCAAAGGTCTCATCACTTGGCAAGGAAATACAAACACCCAAGTTTCTAAATGGACATTACAGTTTTGTATTGGGGATTGCTGGATATTCGGAAAAACATTTCTACAGGAAGAGTGGTTCGACAGTGGAATCAGCTGCGTAAGGAAGTGATGAGCTCCCCCTCACTGCCAGTCTTTAAGCAGGGGCTGGACTAACCCTTGTCAGGGATGCTCTAGGCTAGTGATGGCGAACCTTTTAGAGACCGAGTGCCCAAACTGCAACCCAAAACCCACTTATTTATCGCAAAGTGCCAACGCGGCAATCTAACCTGAATACTGAGGTTTTACTTTAGAAAAAACAACTCATACATTAACATAAGATGATCCAAACAAATTAAGGAAAGCAATCCCAAATGCTTTCATTTACTTAAAATTATTTGGCAGAGAATTCGACACTTTAATGACGGCCTGGCTGGGGCGATGGCACATGTGCCTACTGAGAGGGCTCTGAGTGCCGCTTCTGGCACATGTGCCATAGGTTCGCCACCACTGCTCTAGGCTGATCCTGCATTGAACAGAGGGTGGACTAGATGGCCTTTATGGGCCCTCCCAACTCTGTGATTCTGTTATTCTATGCGTAGAGTTTTGACTATCTGCACCGAATCCTTCTTGAGGGATGGAGCGTGTTTAGCTAGTATAGCACCAGGGAGAGTGGCAGGTATGTTTTGGGGCATAAATGGAAAACCCTGACATGAACACATAATATTTTATTATCCTTTATTCTGCCCTTCCTCCAAGGAGCTTAAAGCGCTATCGATGGACCTGAGCACTTTATCCTTACCACAACCTTGTGAGGTTGGGCTAGGCTGAGAAACAGTGACCTGGTCCGGCGTCATCCACAAAGGTTCATAAACCAAGCTAGGTTTGGTACTCCAGTCAAACGGTATCTTGGACAGAGCATCTCCTGTGCCTTCCCTCTGTTAATACTCCACCACCACATACGGTCAATTGGAACTTCCGTTTCTGCTCTGAAAGAGCCAGTTGACCTGTGTCATGACGGACTGTCGGCTGACACAGCGTCACCTCTGACGTTTGAAAAGTCTCCAGAAACTTTGTACAGACTTTCAGTGTGTCACACCTATGTCCCTGTGGCTCCCTAGGGCTCTTTTTGTAGCAGGTACTCATTTGCATATTAGGCCACACACCCCTAATGTAGCCAATCCTCCAAGAGCTTACAGTAGCTCCTGTAAGAAGAGCTCTGTAAGCTCTTGGAGGATTGGCTACATTAGGGGTATGTGGCCTAATATGCAAAGGAGTTCCTGCTACTGGGAGGTTTGGTGTTGTAGTGTACACACAGAAGACGGGTCCTTTCCCTTTATGGACAGCCCTGCGCTTATAATGGAAAAGCAGACGTCGTGCCATTGACCAGGACACTCTTAAACACAAGGGCACTGAAACAAAATATGGTTAAACGGTATTTAAATCCTATTGAAACCAATATGGCCAATTAATTACAACCTCTTTCTCAAATCTGTTCACATATGAGTAGACCTAGGTCAGTGGTGGCGAACCTATGGCACGGGTGCCAGAGGTGGCACTCAGAGCCCTCTCTGTGGGCACGCGTGCCATCGCCCCAGCCAGGCCCAGACCATCATTAAAGGGTCGAATTCTCTGCCAGATAATTTTAAGTAAATGAAAGCATTTGGGATTGCTTTCCTTACTTCGTTTGGATCATCTTAAGTTAATGTAGAAATAAAGTTTCTAAAGTAAAACCTCAGTACTCAGGTTAAATTGCCGTGTTGGCACTTTGCGAGAAATAAGTGGGTTTTGGGTCGCAGTTTGGGCACTCGGTCTCTAAAAGGTTCGCCATCACTGACCTAGGTTAATTTATCTCTTGCTTTTCTTTCTGCTTTTTTTTCCCTATGAAAAGCAAGCCGATATACATATGACTTGCGTTTTCACAGGGAAAGAAAAGCAGGAGATAAATGAACTTAGATCTACTCATATGTAAAAAAAGTTCTCTGGGCCCTGACCTAAATGGTGCAGGCTAGCCCGGTCTCAGCTGATTTCAGAAGTTAAGCTGGGTTGGCCCTGATCGGTACTTGGATGGGAGGCCACCGAGGAAAACCGGAGTCAGTATGCAGAGGCAGGCAACGGCAAAGCCACCTTTGAATGTCTCCTGCCTTGAAGACCCCACAGGGTGACCATAAGTTGGTTGCAACTTCACAGCACTTCCCACCACCACCAAGTTTCTCTGGATCAGGTCCATGTCTATTATGGGGCTTGCCAGGGGTCATTTTGTAGAAAAAGAGGTGCAGGAGCTCATTAGCACAACTCATTAGCATAACTTATTTGCATATGCCACACCCCCTGATATCACTGAAAGTGTGTCAGAAGGAAACTCAGGCTCCACTGGACTATTTTGGATTGCTAGCTATTGGCAGGGGGGGGGGGGGGAAGCGGCTTTTTCCTCACAGAGGAGGGAGAGCTTGTACCTGAATAAAACTTGGTCTTAAAGGTGCCACTGGACTGTTTTGGACTGGGGCAGCTCTGCAACTTACCTGGCTGCTTCTTGCTCTGACTGAGGGCTGCTGGGAGCAGGGGGTGGGGCTTGTTGCATGTGCCTGCCCCCTGTGCTCTTTACTGCCGGAGTTCCGCTCCTGTGCGCTCCTGCAGGAAATGACCCCTGGGGCTTGCATGTATCCTAAATTGTAAGTAATGTTCTCTTGGTCCCATGTTTTTATCAAAGCATAAACCGCTATTGGACAAAATGACTCAAAGTGATACATCAGATTGACCCATATTTTCCGAACACAGAATTAGGTTTTCCTTTGCATTTGTTGTTATTGCTTCTGTGGTGTTCACATGGGACTGAAGGAAAGAGCAAAAGGGAGGGCGGGGGTGCCATGGGAGTCTGGACCAAACCCCCCACCCCCCTGTCTCTTGCTCCCTTTCTTCTAGGACCTCCACCCACCTCCTTCCTGAATATAAGAGAATCCGTCAAGAACAAGATCATCACGGCTGAGGGCTTCCTCCTACTCGTCTGTGCCATCGGGCCGGGTCTTTTTCTCCTGTTGAGGGTGAGCAGTTCCTTCCCGCTTTTGCACGCACACAGACACGCACGCATGGTATGACCCGTTCCGAGTCTGTCTACCTACAGTTTCCAGTCACCAGATCTTGTTCCGCTTTAGCTTGCTATATTAAAGAGTATTCTGTTCCCTTCCTCCCCAGACAGTAACAAACTGTGATGGAATCGCTAGTTTAAAAAAAAGAAAAGAAAAGTGGATTCATCAAACCATTTTAAGGTTCCCCCTGGTAGGCAGGGTTTTCATTCTGTCCACAGTTTTGTTTCATGTTGCAGGATGGACCCTAGGGTTGGACACAAATCCAACAGCCAGCCCACCATCCCCAATGGGAGTTTGCTGGAATCAGGGGTCATTTCGTAGAAAAAGAGGTGCAGGAGCTAATTAGCAAAACTCATTTGCATAACTCATTTGCATAGGCCACACCCCCTGGCATCACCGGAAGTGTGCCAGAAGGCAACTCAGGCTCCACTGGACTGTTTTGGATTGCTAGCTATGGGGGGGGAGGGACATGCAGATCTGCCCTCGCAGAGGAGGGAGAGCTTGTACCTGAATAAAACTTGGTCTTAAAGGTGCCACTGGACTGTTTTGGGCTGGGGAACCGGGGGGAGCTCTGCAACTTACCAGGCTGCTTTTTACTCTGACTGAGGGCTGCTGGGAGCAGGAGGTGGGGCTTGTTGCATGTGCCCGCCCCCTGGGCTCTTTACTGCCAGAACTCCGCTCCTGTGCGCTCCTGCAGGAAATGACCCCTGGTTGGAATTATACAGACAGGCTGGCGAAGAGTGCAGGCTCTCAGCCTTTTATCACAGCCTTCCTGCAAGGAGTTCAAAGTGGCTTCTTTTGGCCCTCACAACAACACTGTGAGGCAAGTTAGGCTGAGAGTAATTAGCCCAAGTTACCCTGGGAGCTTCATTGTACAGCAAGTCATCTGAATCCAGTTCTCCCAGGTCCTAGTATGACATTTTAATGACTACACCACACTGGGTGTCAGTGCTCTGTGCACTGTTGAGCCCCAAATATAGAACTGCTGTGTCTCTTACTTAAAAAAAAAAATCTGAGACATGCTGGCCTAAAGCCACCAGTGATGGTTGCCTGCTGATAAATCTGCATTTTAATTGTGACTCTGCAGCAACACCCTAAGGTGGATATGTGAAACGGGCTGCAGTCCACAGAAGCATATGCCACAATAAATTTTCATGTGCTTGAGATTATTTCGTTTTCACTGCAACAGTTAATATGGTCATCCTACCAATGTTAACCCACTTAATCAACATGCAGCTACTTTTCGATCTAATCACTGCTGGTAGTTTGGATCTGTGGAAGGCGGGAAACGAAGAAATCTCTCTTCCCCTTCCCCCCCTAAGAATGATAACCAGGGAGGAATGACAGCTAGATGATATCATGTGCACTCATCTGAAATGTACTATAATTTGATATTACTGTGTAGTTGGACATAGATCTCACTCAGACTCAGGGGTCGTTTCGTAGAAAAAGAGCTAGGGGAACTCATTAGCATAACTCATTAGCATATGCCACACCCCTGACATCAGGGGCCCGGCGGTGGACCTGCAAGGCCGGCGGGAGTGCGAGGAAGCCCCGCCAAGGCCCTCCCTGGCCCCAGGCAGGCAGGGGTGGGGAGAGGCAGGGAGGAAGCAACTTACCCTCCCTCTTCTCCTGTTTCCTCCTGGCTGAATGAGGGCCGAAAGCGGGGCGGCCAGAAGCAGGGGGCGGAGCTTCATTGTGTGCCCCGCCCCCCTGCACCTCACCCGGGGGGACTGCGATCCCCCCCCGAATCGACCTCTGCTCACACTACCCACTGTGCCTCTTTGGTCGTCTGAGTGGTCCTCAGTGTCTTGTTTACTTCTTTTTGCAGAAGAGATGGGAGAACGAGAGCCTGCTGCAGGCCAAGAAGAAATACGAAGAGGAGAACCTGTACGAGGTAAGTCAGGGAGACAATCTGTACAATGGGATGGGGGCAGATTTCAGAGATAGGGATGATGTATTCATAAGATAATGAAAACAGAAATCCCAGCCAGCAGCCTCCTACCTCTGTAGCAAACTCTCCAACATCTGGCACAAAGATATATACGTACACAATGGCAGTAAGGTAAATAAGCGAGCCGCAGCTGTGGGAATTTCATGGCTTTCAAAAAGAATCAAAATATCTTTGATCCTGATCAAGCAGAAAGGGCCCAACAACATTGTCCTTTTCTTGCCGTCAAGTCACAGCTGACTTACAGCAACCCCATGGGGTTCTCAAGACAAAAGACGCTCAGAGGTGGTCTAGCCATTGCCTGCCTCTGTGTCATGACCCTGGTATTCCTTGGAGGTCGCCCATCCAAATACTAGCCAGGACTGGCCCTGCTTAGCTTCTGAGATCTGATGAGATCGGACTTGTCTGGGCTATCCAGGTCGGGACAAGGTATGATCTTTTGTGTGCCTGCACACGAAAGCTTATACCTTGAATAAAACTTGGTTGGTCTCAAAGGTGCCACTGAACTCGAGAGGGGGGGGAGAGAGAGAGAGGACGATCAGCACTCTCTCACGAGACTCAAGGCAAATAAGCACCAGCATTTAACAAAGATGGAGTCACCCAGGCCACATGCTCTGTCCCAACCATTTGCTGGTTTCTTCCACGACTCCACCCAGTTACCAGAGGGTGTTTTCTGTGCTCCAGATTAGTGGCCATCACTAAACCTCTGGAAATATAAACCGCAAGGGTAGACCATCAAAAGATACACAACTTTCACAAGTAAACCATAGACATCAGTCTGTTGCAATATAATAACAAGAAGAAGAAGAGGAGGAGGAGGAGGAGGAGGAGGAGGAGGAGGAGGAGATTGGATTTAGCTAGCCTGGGCTATCTAGGGGCGCTTTTCACACATGCTAAATAATATAATAACAAGAAGAAGAAGAGGAGGAGGAGGAGGAGGAGGACGAGGAGAAGGAGGAGATTGGATTTAGCTAGCCTGGGCTATCTAGGGGCGCTTTTCACACATGCTAAATAATACCGTTTCAGTCCACTTCAGCAACCGTTTGCAAGTGGATCTTGCCATTTCACACAGTAAAATCCAGTTGCAAAGTGCATGGAGGATTGAAAGTGTGTTATTTTGTGTGTGTGAAAGCACCCCTTAGGTCAGGGGTGGCCAAACTGTGGTGCGGGAGCCGCATGCGGCTCTTTCACACATATTGTGCGGCTCCCGGCAGGGCGGCTGGGGAAGCGAAGTATCATTAGCAAACAAATTATCATTGGACAAATAAATATCATTATCAATATCTGCTTTTACCGCTTTTGATATTATTTTTGGCAGTCTCGTTTAATGTTCATAAAAAGCAAATTTGCATATTTCCCAGTAAAAACGTGTGTAATATTTGTTCATGTCTTGCGGCTCTCAAACATCTGACGTTTATTCTACGTGGCTCTTACGTCAAGCAAGTCTGGGCCACCCTTCCTTTAGGTCAAGGCCACCTTCTTCTTACTTTTATTTATTGTATAATTTATTTATTGTATTGTACTTATAGGCTTCCTTCTTAGCTACCCAAGGCAGCTCCTTATGTGACACTGGGATTGTATTCTGATGTTTGCTGGGGTTCATCCCTCTTGCTCTGTGGACGGCACAAAGATGGGAAAGTTGCCCTCCTAACAATTCAATCCTATGCATGTCTTCTGAGAACGAAGTCCTACCGAGCTAGGTTAGGATCGCAGCCTAGAAATACTTGCTGCTTCAGAAATGTCTCGTTTCTTCCCTCCCTAGGGACTGAACCTGGATGAGTGCTCCATGTATGAGGACATCTCACGGGGGCTGCAAGCCACCTACCAGGACATAGGCAACGTCAAAGTGATCGATCTGCAGTTGGAAAAGCCAGAGAAACCGTGATACCTTTGCCTTGCATTCTGTTTCCAGAAGCCTACTACAAAGAATCATTTTTTTTATTCCCAGATCTTTTAACAGTATCCTACAGACAAAGCAGGGGGGGAAATATGTATTCTTCTCTCTTGGGTGCTGACAGTTTGTGTAACCATTTCAGCTTTATAATAAGGAAGCTGAGGGAAATGGTCTAATGATGGAGTATCAAAGATCTGGTATTAATAGGAGAACATAGCAGAGGGGCTTCTTTAATATTTTAGTTCTCCCAGCAAAATATCCCAGTAAGAACTATCTTGTTTGAAATGTCCTTACTCTGTTTTCCATTTATGATTCCCCATGAACTGCTTCCTGATTCTGAAGAAAAGGATTCTAAGCCATAATAATGCTGTTTGTTTCAATGATATTCAGAGAATGCATCTGCCAAGCATACAGGATTAATTCAAACTTGTCAGTGCTCCTGTCTCCCCTTCAGACATAACATTTGCAGAGCCAAGGAAGCTTTGAAAGTCCCCTTACTACATGCATCATCCTTTTCTCTCTGGGATCATGTTAAATGGTCCTACAAATTTGCTGCAAAACCAAGCTATGTTCAGCCTCTAGTGGGTAATATCTATTACATCAACCCGTCCCAGACCTGAATCCTCCGGTTCAGATTTTATAACGGTTTAAAAGAATTTCATCATTGAAAGCAAAGGCTGAACAGTTAACGGCAGGGGTGCTTTCCTGCAGGAGTGCACAGGAGCGGAGCTCCGGCAGTAAAGAGCCCAGGGGGCGGGCACATGCAACAAGCCCCACCCCCTGCTCCCAGCAGCCCTCAGTCAGAGCAAGAAGCAGCCGGGTAAGTTGCAGAGCCCTCCCCTGGCCCCCAGGTCCAAAACAGTCCAGTGGCACCTTTAAGACCAAGTTTTATTCAGGTACAAGCTCTCCCTCCTCTGCGAGGGCAGATCTGCACATCCCCCGGTGGGTGTTGTCTTCTGACACACTTCCGGTGATATCAGGGGGTGTGGCCAATCAAATAAGTTATGCTAATGAGTTATGCTAATGAGCTCCTGCACCTCTTTTGGTTTTAAAAGGTGGGCATCTCATTTAAAACATGCAGAGGGGAGAAAAAAGACTGTAAAACAGCTTGGTTTCATTTTCTAGCAGAAAGCCAAAAATGCCTCTGCTTCAGCGTCTCTTCTGTCTTCACCACCTTTGAGATGTTTTCATACTGTCCCATTCTGGGAGAGTTATTGTTTTAGATCTTCTGAGTAAGGTTCACTAAAGGGCTCCCCCTAAATTCTTCTGAGGCCAAAACAAGGACAGAACAAACTGGGGACACTTGAGACCGATGGGCCTGACTTGTAGCTAAGGATGTAGATGGTTCCATGGGCCCGTGAGTTTTGGTTTCCAAAGGGACCAACAAATAAATGACTAGGTTTTTTTCCAAGGGCCTGATCATTTCCCAGAAGCAGGGGTCATTTCCAACAGGAGCGCACAGGAGCGGAGCTCCAGCAGTAAAGAGCCCAGGGGGTGGGCACATGCAACAAGCCCCACCCCCTGCTCCCAGCAGCCCTGTCAGAGCAAGAAGCAGCCAGGTAAGCTGCAGAGCCCCTCCCGGCCCCCTGGTCCAGAACAGTCCAGTGACACCTTTAAGACCAAGTTTTATTCAGGTACAAGCTCTCCCTCCTCTGCGAGGACAGATCTGCATGTGTCCATCCCCCCCCCCCAATAGCTAGCAATCCAAAACAGTCCAGTGGAGACTGAGCGGTGGGTGTTGCCTTCTGACACACTTCTGGTGATGTCAGGGGGTGTGGCATATGCAAATAAGTTGTGGTAATGAGTTATGCTAATGAGCTCCTGCACCTCTTTTTCTACGAAATGACCCCTGCCCAGAAGTATTGTTCTGGTACCCTTGTCTCCTTATTGTGACATGCAAGGCTCTGGATTTGCACTGTAATAAAGGACAATCACAAAACTATAGCAATGCCCCGGCACAGTCTCTTCAACTCAGTACTTAATCAGAACCCTACCTTGAGAATCATCTTGTAATCGTATATTGCTGTAACTATAGCCTACATTTTCTTGTGTGCTTTGAGATGTCAATAAAATAATCACATCTGACTGTCTATTGTTATGCTTGCAAATGACAAGTCATTTGGTAAATAAAAATTGGGGGTAGCTTAGTCCTGGTAGCAAAGAACTGGCCCTGTGGTGCTTGCCTTGGCTATATCTAGATTAGATTACTGCAATGCACTCTACGAAGGGCTGCCCTTAGGAAGCGTTCGGAAACTTCAATTGGTGCAGAATGCTGCCACCAGGATGTTTACTGGAGTGGGTCACTCCAGCATTGGCCCATCTACACCGGCTCCCTGTTTGTTTCTGGGCACCATTCAAGGTGCTGGTGATGACTTTTAAAGCCCTATATGGGGTTCAGGACCAACATACTTATAGGACCATCTACTCTCTATGAACCTACCCAAAATGAGATTGCATTTACCTGTAGCCATTGTTCATCGAGTGGTCTTCTGTACAGTCCCACATGGGACTGCGCAGTCGCTGGCCAGCCACGGAAAAGATTTCCAAGCTCTCTAATAGACTAGGAGCACCCCTCCTCCCTCTGGTGCTTTCCCGCCAAAACGCTCACATGACCAGGAGGAGGGGCGCTACTCCCTCGGTTCTCTTTTTTGCCGCTGCGGATAGATCATCTCCACTGCTGTTCTCTGTGTTTTTTCCTCACTTCGGCTCTGAGGCTGAGCTTTTTTTCCTGTTAACAGTTTTTTTTATTCTAGTGAATGATAAAATACATCTGAAGAAGATTTTTGTGTGTGTGGATTTCCACTGTGTCATTGTGACTAAAAACGATGCTGGTCAACGGCCATTCTCTGTGCCTTGGCTGCCTAGGGGTTCACACAGCAGAGCGGCCGGCTCTTGCTGACACCAGTTTCCCCTGAAGGCCTGTGTGGAAAGAGCTGGACTCAGAAGAGCTGTCTGCAAAGCCTTCCCCCTCCCTGGTGAGGAGGGGTGGAAAAAGAACCTGGCCTCAATGGCCCTCTTTGGAGGTTCACCTGTGTGTGGTGCCAGTGGGTGAACTCTTCTCAGGGCTTTTTTTGTAGAAAAAGCCCAGCAGGAACTCATTACCATAACAGGCCACACCCAACAGCAGAAACTCATTAGCATATTAGGCCATGCCCTCGACAGCACAGCTCAGTAGCATATTAGGCCATGCCCCGGTTCACCTGTGTGGCAGCAGCCTGATGAGCCATCTTTGGTGCCAGTGGGTGAAGAATCTTCTGTTCTGGCACCCGTCCTTCCTACCCAATGTTTTAATTGTTGTTCTATGCCTTTGTATATATTTTGGCTTTGGTTTTAATGTGTGGGTTTTTAAATGTGATTAACATTATATATGTTTTAATTTGTTATCTACATGGATGGCCCTTGTGAGGGCAGAAAGGTGGGATATAAGCTTTTGTAAAATGAAGTTATCGCAGTCATACGGAATGTAAGCATTTCCCCCGTGGAAGCATTTGTTACAGCCTTTATTTGCTTTGTATTAAATGAGACGCGACAGCATTTCATATACAGGCCTGCTTTATTTTTTTTAAGTACTCACTCTCACTGTACTAACATTGGTTCTGCTTCCTATATCAAGTAGGAAGAATGATTTAACGCACAGCTGGGACAGGGAGAGGCACAGCTCTTTATACCCCCCCCTTAAAAAAAAAAACACCACAAAGCCAGAGTTGCTACATTGGAACTGGATGCCCTTCATTAAGACCTAGCAACGTGGCTACTCTTCTGTGCACATTTGCTTGTGCTGGGCTAGGCTTGATGATCGGGAGAAGCTTTTCCCACACACGCAACATGAATATGGCTTCTCTCCTGTGTGCGTTCGCTTGTGCCGGGCCAGGTCTGATGATTGGGAGAAGCTTTTCCCACACATGCTACATGAATATGGCTTCTCTCCTGTGTGTGTTTGGCAGGCCAAGTATAATTGTCTTAAGGCTGCTGCACCTTCACTGTATAAAGAAAGCTTTTTTCTATGGGAAGTGTTTACAGTTCTATTGTCTATTGTTTTGTTCCTATCTTTAAAAAGTAGCTTTTCTTTTTTCTCATTCACTCCACTAGGTATTAGCTGCTGCAATGTAATACTATAAGGAGTATTTGTGATTTTGAATAGAGACTCCTCTTCCAGGACATTTTTTGTTTCTTTACTGTATATTCCATACCCAGAATGCTTCCACTTCATATGTTGGCTGAGGTAGTGTTCGGAAGTGAAAGCTATCTCACAACAGGAGCACTGATGACTGGTTGTATCTTGCGGCGGTATCAAGTGTGAATTCTGGCAATGCGCTATTTGCAAAAAAACCCCAAAACATTGTTTTCTTTTTGGTAATGCGTCTTGAGTCTCAGCAAGACAGGGAAATTATAAAGTAAATAAATAAATTTTTTAAATTCTTTTTTCTTCAATTTTGTTGAAATATTTCTTAAACCTCATTTGGTACAATCGCTTTGGAAATATTATTATTGAAACACCTTTGGATGCCAGATGGATGGGAAGGTGTGCATTCTGCAGGTCTTGCCACTTTGGTGCCATTGTTCATGCCTCAGTCACCATGGCCATGATTTTCCCACCACCAAAAGGTTTTTTTAAATCAATCAATAACTGACTGATAGTGTAATGATGTTTTGACAAACTATTGCTACAAGCTACCAGTTCCCAGTTTTCATACCTTTTAATTTTTTTAAATGAAAGTTGGGAAGTAGTAGATTACAGCAATAGATTGTTATTAGCAATCTGCCAATTACTATTTTCTTAAGTCCAAAAAAAGCCTTCTGGTAGCACAGGGGGCCATTAAGAGAAGGGAAGTCTGGGGGAAACTGCCATGTAGACACTGTTACCAATGCAAATACCTTTGCATTCACAGCAACAACAAGAGTCACATGGAGAACTGTTGCTGTGAGGAAATAGCCAAACTACAAAAATCATGGAAGCACATTTAAGCACATTTCCAGATGTTTCTTCCACAATACATTATATTTATTATTTGTGTTTAGAGGGCCCATATTTCTCCAAGATAATACTTCTGAATGTAGGAGATGTAATGGCCTAGTGTCATGGCTATTCAGTGTTTAAACATATTTTACAAAATGATGCATCAGTAATTTTCTTTTAAAGGGATAAAGGAGCCCTTTTTCTTTCGCTGTATATATATATATACACATACACACACACACACGGTTACATAAGTAGTCCATAAAAGAATGGTTCACCTTACTCCCCATATATGTGTACATGGAATAAAATACCTATTCCACTAGACAAGGGCTAGCCAGTATGACAGAAGCTCATTTGTCAGTCCTCAGAAATGCCTTGAATCAGCCGTAATATGGCTGTTCTTCTAATGTACCAGTTTATTCACCTCTATAGCAATACTGAGCACAATACACCCTCTGTACAAAAGCACAATAATGAATATGCTACTTTTATGGGAATATGATCTCACACTTGAAAAAGCTCTAAGTTGTAGTAGACTCATTTTATGTTTAGGTCTTTCACAAGGACTTTCCATCAGACCTGTGCTACACGTTTTCCTTGATCAATTTGATTCCAAGATACATGGGGGCCGATTCCAGACTAGGACCACAGGGGAAAGGGTCTTAAA